ACCTCTTGTGTGTTTAGTCTATAGTAAGTGCAACACAGACTTGCGGCTGGCTTAGTTGGAACGACGCCATACTTTAGGAAGGAAGTGTCGCTCGTACTGCTTGTTTTCGGTGGAAAGGGAAATATTATAACCAGACAGTTACCATTAACTCCGGTAAATGTTGGGAGTTTTTTCCCATTTCGTGTTCTTTTCGTTCCTGTAGAACCAAGTGGAACTAACGATACTACATAAAATAACAATTCATAAAAATTCAGACAACTAGGCCCTACTCAATGTACTCGTTCCCCATTTCTTGCTCTTGGTTCCTGGCGCTTGTGATCCATCATCGTTTCCATCTCATTTTCACCTATCCTGTCCCCTGAGCAATGTTTGTTAGTCCTTTTTCCGTTTTCCCCTTTTTATCATTCTGCGTGGTTTAGCTGCTTCGACCATGGCTCTAAATATCTCTCTGAGAAATATGCCTGGAAACCGGCTGTTAAATGATCCTTGTTAGAAAGGCTTATACTCGTGTGATCTTGATAAAAGTTGTACAGGTAAACTATATGAGCAGTACGCTGATCTTCGAGAGAGAGAATCACGAATACGAGATTGTTATTTCCTTATGATTAGTAAACACGAGAGTTTGAAGCTAAGCAAAGCATGGTCAAATTGAAACTGCAGAACGTTCAAAAATTGAATCCTAGGGGGAAAGGAGGGGAGGGGAGGGAAGGGAGGGAGGGAGGGTAAGGCTAGCGAGAGAAGAATGCAACTAACCTTTGCACAGACCTCTAACTTGCTATGACCGAGAGGAAACTTTATTGAAGTGTGAAACAAAGAGAACAAAGCTATGGCGTGTGCCACTATCAGAGTGTTTTGTACGAATTCAAAACCATTAAATATGTAATGGTGTTCTGGCTTCGTAATTGGCTGTGTTTTCTTTGACATGATTTGAATAAATGCGCAGTCCATTACTGGATATAGTAAGGCTCTATTTACTTTGTACCCCTCTTTTTATCCACTATTTTGAGTTTTTATTCGGATTACCACTGTACCTTTATCCCAGACTGCTGTTCTTCGTTCTCCAATCTCTGTTTTCCGTTGCCCACTTCCCATTCTCCGTTTCATAGTCGCGCGTCTATGGCTCTACACAGTACTTTGGCCGGACGCGTGACTCCACTACTGAGTTCACCTCCACTCAAAACAAACGCAAACGGAAAGGTACGCCACTCAATATGGTTCATCCAGTGTGCCAATTGGAAAGCTGACTCTTGGTATGGGTTCAAGTGCGCGTGGCAAAAATATATCATTACTTAAGACATTTCAAAGTACAAGAGGTATAACAAGTATGTTCATCATCATCATCATTATTATGATTACTATCATGATAATAATAATAATAATAATAATAATAATGATGATGATAATAGAAAATGAATATAATCTTTTATTCACCATAATCACAAAAAATTATAACAAAAATTATGATAAAATGCTTGAGAGTCGAAAAAATGTGTTAAAATATCTAATAAAAATGTAAGAAAAACTAGAGGATACACACTATGATAACGATAATTCACTCTAATCATCAAAAATATTTACAAACAAATTAAGATAAACTCCTTAAAAATCGAAAAATAAATGAAAATGTCGACTAACAAATTATCTAAAAAAAAGAAACTCACTAACAAATGGCAGCCTCTGAACTTTGAATATCCAGGTCTACATTAGTAAAATCTAATTTGGGCCTTCTAATTGTTCTGGGTCCTATTAGGCAGATTAGGGCGGATCTTAATAATGCAAACGAAGTTTTTGCCCTGATCCAGGAAATTGTCTTTGAATAGTGCTCTCCTTTCTTGTCTGCAATGAGTTCTGCAAGGCGACTGTGATATCTCAAACATTCTTTGCCCATTCGACCAGTCGAAGTAAACACAAGAGGCGTAAATTAAGCATGTTCGATGTCTAGAACACGTCTCGAGTAGGAACGTTTCTTTTTATTCTCAAGCATGCGGTAAATCTGCTGCGGTTTCAGATTTCTGTACGATTCAGCGTTTGGGTGACAAACTCGAATATCGAAAAATGCAGATCGATTGTGTTCTCAGAAACCACGAGCATGGATGTCTAGCCTTGTATCTTACGCCATGTTGGAACCACTGTTTAATTGCTCTCTTGTGGTGTCTTGGAGTTGGGGTTCGACTTCCACATCTTTGCAGAAAATTCTTAAAAGCTCAGCTTCTAAGTCTCTAAGTTCGTTGTGGCGCTGTATAATAAAGCCACCCTTTTTGCAGACCACTGCATGGTCCACTGTGAGCACGTCCCCACAAGCACATTTGGAAGGAATATCTTCGAATTGCAATTTAATAGCGTCTCGGAATTCTCTTTTGTTGAGATTATATCTTTGCTCTTGTAAGGGAAGGAACGTTAACCATACCGATGAACCCTTTTCGGTAGCCAGATCTAGTGCTCGCTCGGTCTTAAGTGGTGCCCTCTCATAAACACTCTTCACTCTTTCTTTTACGTGTTCGTCCCTCTTATGCTGGGAAGTCTGTTTTGATGACTTTACTGCCGAGTCTTCCGGTAAGTGATGTTGTTGGGCTTTAATTTGTTCGACGAGCGGTGCACTGAGTTGTTCCAACGGATTTCTTGTACTCCCGCGGTGCTTCTATCAGCGGATTTCGAAGGCCAAGGCCACCAAAGCGAGCGGGTAAGGACAACACGTCTCTCTCCAATTGATTACACTTGCGCCCAGTTATTGCAGGTATGAGGACATGGCTCGTAGCACTTTCCAAAGGTTCTATGAGATCCTGGGCGTCGGGAATAGTCCGAAGAAAATAAGTCCATCTGTGTTTAAGGCTAATAATAGTTTAAGGATAATAATAGTGGTTATAATAATAGCCAATAACAACAATGGTAACTGATTTAATAGTTATATTGCGCAAATTAGCATTTGGATTTGATCAAATGCGCATCACAACACTTTTCGGGAGACTTTGGCCGGACTACATCAGCAGTTTACAATAAATCGAAGGAAACTTATTTGAAGATGCTTCCTCCCCCACAATTCCCCGTAGACAGGCCAGACCACATTACGGTAATCTCGTGAGTGGGTTCTTTAACGTCCCCTGCCTAATCAAATTGGCTAATTAATAGATGCAGGAGACGGGACCCTCGGTTTGTTTGTCTTTATTCGAGAAAGCTACATAATGTTTATCCATTTCTTGATATTATAGAAAGGTAGCATAATGGTAATAATAATAGAAATAATAATAATAATTATGATACTAATACATACTGATAGGGAACTGTCAGCAAATAAGCCTGATATAGTGATAAAGGACCTTGCCAACCAATGTTGCAAACTTATAGAATGATGTATCGGTACCACCCGACAGAAACGCCTCAACGAAAGTCATTGAGAAACTTTCAAAATACAAAGATCTTGAGATTGAAATCGAGACAATGTGGGGAATGACAACAGACACTGTGTCGGTTATTGCTGGTGCGTTAGGACGTATTAGAGAGGAAATGGAACAGAACTTAGGAAAGATCCCTGGAGCCAGTAACATTAATGAGCTGCAAGAGATCATCCTCCTGGGAACGGCGCACATACTGAGATGGTTTCTGTCCATCAAATAAAAGAGTCTCCTGGCACCCGCCCCAGGACCAAGGATTGGCCCCGGTTCTAGGAGACTGAAAGAAGCAAATAATACCACTGTAAACTATTTTAATAATAATAATAATGATAATCATATGATAAGAATAGCAATAGTAATAAAAATAAAAATATAAAACTGTAAAAACGAACGATAAAATCCGACGTTTCGATGTAGTCATGACTCCATTATCAAGGAAAATATAAAAGATCATACAAATTGCACTCTCTTATGTTAATTCTTCGCGCCAAAAACGCTTTATATGTTGCAATTTGCGTGATCTTTTATATTTTCCTTGATAATGGCTACACATGATAATGGCTAGTCATGACTACTCCGAAACGTCGGATTTTATAGTTCGTTTTTACAGTTTTAAGTCTTAAGAAATCTCTTTTGATACGGATTTTAAAACGCGATAATTAACTACACTTGTTTAGAAGACTTAAACAGTGTAGTAAGAAACAGGTCAACTACGATGTTTCGATTGAATTTCTTCGATTCTGTCAGAATTTCGATCTCACCCCAACATTCGCCAAGATTGACAAAGGAAGGAGCTCTAAATGGAAGCAGTCATCGGAAGCCTTCGGAAGGAATCTTATCTCACAAGAGCTTAAAGAAAAAATTAAACAAAGAACTTCTCTCAAGCACGAGATCAGCTCCATCTACGACGAGATTCGCCGAAGCCGCAGCTTGTTCCGTAGAAACAAACACTATCAGGAGGTCATGAGCACTCACACAAAGAAGATCGCAAGGCTACTCTACAAAGAAACGGATGTTGATGAGCATATACAGAACATATCGTCCTACGATCTCTCTTTCTTACAGAAACTGGTCTTGTGTCGGGGCTTGAAATTTTCCTTTCCCCAACGGGTTTCATCGATTGAAGTGAAAGCGAGCTTTGAGAAGGCCTACGGAGGCTTGAACCTCATCTCGGAAACGATGATTTGAAAGAGTTGGCGGCTGCAACCCTACGATCGGTAGCACTGAACTACATCCAGCGCAAAGAACAGAAACCTTCCAAGACACCTCTGCTTGCCATCGATCAAATTAAAACAACGCGACGACATCATCATCACGAAACCAGATAAAGGTTCAGGAGTGGTCGCAATGGACAAGTCTGAATATCTACGACTGTTATCCGAAGCATCCATCAATGATTCAAGCAAATTTCGGGCGGTCCCTCTTGAGAGGCCCTCGGGTAGAGGCAGACCACCAACATATCATCACCCCCTTCTACAGAAAGAGAAAGAATTAGAGTCTATCGTTTGTAGAAGCTACCCAAGCCTATTGTAGATACGGTCCGCCCTACAGGCTCCAGATTAGCGCATTTGTATGGTTTACCAAAGACACACAAGGACTGATCGGTTGGCG